GGTATTATTATAATCAAGAATGATTCTGTAAGGAGAGTCCTTAAAAAAAAAAAAAAAAAATCAGTTGGATTCTTCTACACTAATAGAGAGCTCTGAAAAGGAAATCAGGAAAGCAGTTCATTCATAATAGCCCTCCAAAAGATAAAGTACTTAGGAATAAATCTAACCAGAGACACAAAAGAGACCTTTGTAGATGGAAGAATTACCAAGCTACTGGATAGGATCACTTAGCACTGTAAATATTGGCAGTACTACCCAAAGCAATCTACAGGTATAATGCAATCTGGATGCAGATTCCATCATCATTCTTTAAAGAGATGTAAAAGCTAATCACCAACTTTGTATGGAAAGGAAAGAGACCCCATATAAGCAGTGCACTACTAAAGAAGAACAAAGTAGGAGTCCCCACACTCCCCGATTTCAACGCATACATGGTGAAAACATCCTGGTGTTGGTACAATGACAGATACATAGATCATTGGAACAGAATTGAGAACCCAGAAGTATGGACAGATGATCTTTGACAAAAGAAAACCTGCCAAATGGGGAAAGAGACAGTCTTTTTAATAAGTGGTGCTGCAAAGCTGGATATCCATTTGCAGAAAAATGAAACAGGATCCGTGTAATGCCTAAGGCACTTGACTGCTAACCAGAAGGCTGGCGGTTCAAACCCACCAGCCACTTCTTGGAGAGAAGCTTGGGCAGTCTACTTCTGTAGTGATACTGCCTTGGAAACCCAAGGAGGGGTCGCTATGAGTTGGATCCGACTCCACTCAGTGGTTGAGTTTTTCTTTTTAATATCTGACACCATTTTACAAAAACTAACTGAAGATGGATCAAAGACCTAAATGCAAAACTTAAAACCATAAAGATCATCAAAGAAAAAAATAGGGGCAAACTGAAGGGCCCTAATGCATGACATAAATGCACTGTCAAACATAACTGAAAATGCACAAACAGCAGAGACAAACTAGATGATTGGAATCTCCTAAAAATTAAATATTTATGCACATGAAAAGACTTCAACAAATGAGTAAAAAGAGAATGTACAAACTGGGAAAAAGTTGCTAGCAACAACATATCAGACAAGGCACTAATATCTTCTAAAATTTATGGAAAATTTTGACACCTCAGCCACAAAAAGGACATGAACAGACATCTCACCAAAGAAGACATTCACCTGGCTAACAAACACAAGAAGAGCTTGCAATCGTTAGCCATTATTGAAATGCAAATTAAAACACAAAGAGATATCCTCTCAACCCACAATTAATAATGAAGTTCAAAAAAATAGAGAAAAACAAATGCTGGCATATGTGCGGAGGCAGTAGTTTGAACAGAACAAGGGGATTTGTTGTTGTTGTCATGTGCTGTCGAGTCGGACCTGACTCATAGTGACCAGCCTTCTGGTTAGCAGTCAAGTGCCTTAGGCCCTATGCTACCAGAGCTCCTATGATACTGCATGATTTAAGATCAGGAAAAATATCAGTCGTTGTATCTTTTACTATACATATACAATCTGTATGCTGATCATATAATCTGAGAAGCTAGACTATGTGAAGAAGAACGCAGCGTCTATATATGAGGAAGACTCATTAAGAACTGTGATATGCTGGTGACACAACCTTGCTTGGTGAAAGCAAAGGGGACTTGAATCAATTACTAATGAAGGTGAAAGCCTGCAACCTTCAGTATGGATTGCACCTCAATATAAAGAATACAAAAATCCTCACAACTGGACCAATTAGCAATATCATGATAAACAGAGAAAAGATTGAAGTTGCTGAAGATTTCATTTTATTTGGATCTGTAATCATTGGCCAAGAAAGTAGCATTCAGGCAATCAAATGACCTATTGAATTGGGGAAAATCTGATGCGAAAGACCTTTTTTAAGTGTTAAAGTGTAAATATGTCACTTGGAGAGTAAAGTGGGCCTGGCCCAAGTCTTGGTATTTTCAGTTGACTCATATGCATGTGAAATATGGACAATGGTTAAGGAAGTCTGAAGAAGAATTGATGCCTATGAATTATGGTGTTGGTGAAGAGTATTGACTATACCATGGATGCCAAAAGAATAAACAAATCTGTCTTGGAAGAAGTACAGCTGGAATGCTTCTTAGGGGGGAAGATGGTGAGTCTTAGTCTTTCGTACTTTGCATATGTTATCAGGATGGAGCAATCTCTGGAGAATGACATGATGTTTGCTAAACTAGAGAGTCAGCGAAAGTGGCTGCAACAATGGGCTAAAGCACAGCAACAATTGAGAAATGCATTTTTCTGAGGAACACATTGGATTCCCATTCATTTTATTAGCAATCTTCAGTAATGTAAATAACCACTTTCTCTATCTCTTTTTTTTAAATATGACTTTAGATAATAATCTTGGTTTAGTTCAAATAAAACAGAGCATAAGGCTGGAATGGCTAATAGGTTCTTGCTAGAGAGACACTTGGTAATGGTTGACTGCAACCCTGTGTTCTGAAGGTATCAGGATTGCCTCAGCAATCACTGGGAGAGTGTGAGTCTGCCACCTCAGGACATTAGGCGTGACCTCTCCCACACCACATATTTGCCTTCCCCTAGCCTGTTTACCGAAACATGTCTTTGACATCCAAACAAAGTGGATTTTAATTTCACTAGATGTGTAACTTAATCCTTTTGCACTTCAGTTCTTTATTAAATGGTAGATAATCTCTCTTGTAGAGTTTTTAATGGAGATTAACTATGACATATAAGACATTTTATGCCTGTAAGAGCTAGCTCAGTTTTTAGTTACTCTGGTCTTCTATTTATGGTAGATATTTTATGTGTTACAAGGAGCCTTGGTGGCACAGTGGATAACACGATTCATAAACAAAACGAACTCAGCTTAGAAAATTATATGGAACAAAGAAATTGACACCACAAAAAAGCATATAACAAAAATGACAGCAACAAATTCATATTTGCCAATAATTACATATCTGGCAAGGGACTTACCTCTTCAGATTTATAGAAAACTCCAACACCTCAACACCAAAGGAATTAACAATCCAATTGAAAAATGGGCAGAAGACATGACTAGACATTTCACCGAGGAGGATATT